TCGCTTCGGATTATAGTGGGCCAGCACCTTAGATGATGATAACTGCTTTTTGACTTTCCTAAAGGCTACATGACCATTTCCTTGGCTGATCCTTTTTCATTAGCAGGAGAGAGGGTGCCAAGATGGAGGCTAGGTTACATATGAATTTTCTGTACTAATTCACTAATCAAGCAAAGACCCAAGCTCTGGTACAGACATGGGAACCAGGGCTCCCTTTGATTGCCCTCACTTTCTCTTCCAACAGATGTAACCCAGTTTAGTCAACTCTAACCCGAGTAGATCACTTGGGGTGCCTGGAACTTAAGGCATATGCTCACCTGGGAGAAATGTTTAAGCACTATGTCCAAGTTCTCCAAGAGCCCTTTATTGGTCTTCCTGATTATTGGCACGTCATCCAGATAAATGGCAACCTGGGGTAGCCCATGTAAAATGTTCTGCATAGTCTGCTGGAAAAGGGCACAGGCTGATCGTATCCTAAATGGCAGTCTTGTATGTTGGCATAAACCCTTATTGGTATTAATTATGGCACACTTCTGGAACTTCTCATCCAGTCACAATTGTAGGTAGGCATGGCTCATGTCCAGCTTCGTAATGGGCAGCCCCACTCTCCCTTACACCAACTTTGCATATTGGTCCTTTGTGAGGAATTGTATGTGTATCCAGGTGAGAAGTGGTTTACCATTTGCTTGAAATCCCCACAAAGGCGAGCTGAGCGGTCAGTCTTCACAATCGATATGACTGGTGCTGCCCATCCTGTAAACTACACTGGTTTGATGATTCCTTCGCTTCCCAGCCTCCTGAGTTCTGCCTCTACTTTTGCCCACAAGATAAATAGTACTGGGTGGGTCTTGCAAAGTTGCAGAATTGCTTCCTGGTCAACATATAAAGTGGCTTTGGCCCTTTTGATAGTCCTAAGCCCTTCCTGAAAAACTCCTTGGTATTTAACTAGGGCTTCACTGAGGCAGCCATTTTCTGATCCAAGTGGTTGAGCCAATCTAGCTAAATCTTTCAACCAAATTCTGCTTCAGTAGGCCGAGGCCCAACCCTCTTACTACCAAGAGTGGTAACTGCACCAACTGCGTCCTGTAGGACGTACAATCTAAAGTTGTACGTTTTTTAATTTGCAATGGTTCCCCAGTTTGTGTTCTCAATCTGGCCGACGTCTTGCTCAAACTTAAGGGTTGGAGAGCTGAGTGAATATTGTCAAAGACAGGTTCTGCAACCACAGGTACAGCTGCGCTGGTATTGACCAGCATGGTAACTGGGTGACTGTTTTAACCAAATGTTAATTTTAATCGGTTCTGATTTGGATGTCGCTAAGCAATTTAATTGTTCCAACCCACATCTAGGGGGACTTCAAGTGTGCACTCCCTTAGGTACCAACCTATGAGTTTTCTTACTCAAGTCAGGCCTTGTAGGACTCCTTTGCTGTCTTGAGTCTGCACACTGGCAGCAACTACAATGGCTTGCTGCACTAGATCCTGAAGAATAATTTAGCCACTTGACTGAGGCTCAGCTTTGTTGTGGGGTTGTGCTGTTGGGTTGTCGTAGGGCCCCTCTGCTCAGGATATGCCCTGCATGAGGCTCTGAGTGTGTCTACACTCAAGTGGTGTTCCCCCAACTTGGTTGGATAGGTGAGGGTGTCCACTTCCATTGGGAAGTCCTGTAGTTCCTATGCTGCACTTTCTAATGACAAAGCCAATTGTAATACCTGTTTGAAGTCCAGTTGGTCTTCAGCTAGTAGGTGCTTCTGCATGGTGTCATCATTAATCCCACATACCAAAAGGTCTCTCAGCATCTCATTCAGTGTTAACCCAAAACCACATGCCTCTGCCAGTCATCTTAACATCAGAAATCCCAATACGGATTTCCCTGGTTCTCTAACAGCCAAATAAAACCAATAGTGTCTGAGGATTAAAGCTGGTTTAGGGGTTGTAATATTCATTAACCAACTCCATCAACTCTTGGAAGGAGTTAGTGTCTGGTGCCTCTGGGAAATTTAAGGCCCTTATAACTGAGAATGTTGTAGGGTCAGCAAGCAGTCAGAACGATTACTTATTGCTCATCATCTGCCCCAGTGTCACTAGCTCAGAAAAAAAAAAAATTGCATTTTTCCACATATTGGGCCCAACCTTCAACAACAGGATCAAACAAGCAAAGCTTCCCAAATAAAGGCATGATGCCAGAAATGCTTACCCCAACTCCAAGATGAGGTTTGCGAGGAATGTTCTTCAGGCATGTACTGTTTTCTCCCATAGCCACTGAAATAACTGTAGAGGTGGGTATCCAGTCACCAAGCCACCCTTTATTTACTTTATGTTTAGCTGTGGCCAGAGGGAGTCAGTCACCTGAACTGAGAAAATTTGAAATCCCCGTTTATATTGGTCAGCCAGGGCTTCCTGATTGGCCTAGGTTAAAAACCCCAATCAAGGCCCTTGTAGTCAACAAGGTCCACCTGGTTCCACTGACTATAGGAACCATCTTTTGAGTACAACTGAATGGCTATTTCAGAAAGCAATTGAGAATCAACTACGTTTCTGAGAGTCTGGACTCATCTATAGACATGAAGCGTAAGGATAGCAGATGCCTTCCCTGAAGAACTGTAGTAAACAAGATGGATTTTACATAATCTGGTAGTTTTATGGTCACCATCACTGATACTAACATTTCAGTCCAGATTTATTGACTGAATTGAATTTACATTAAAGATGGGCAATAAATGTTGATATTCCATACAAGAATATAAATAAATGTAAGGAATGTTTTAATAATGCTTTTAAGAAAATAGATAGTCACATTCACTCATGCTGTTTGGTTGCTCTGTTTCACATTCCTCCCAGGTTAACGAAAAATCACATGGCCAACCCATACTGTCCTGTTATATGCTGTACACTGCTTGTGTTTCCCAGCTTATTCTTATGTTATTTTGCAGACCCTATTTTGAGAACAAGTGGACTAAATTACCACTCAAGTTTTCAAGATCACCAGGACTGAATTTTATACATTTAAGCCCTGCTGAGCTTTATCTATTTCCCTTGCACAGCACTGTATTTTTATTGAGCCTTGATATTTAAAACTTAACACAGTGCTAATGTACAAGGCTCTAAAAATGCATAATTTTCTCCTTTGCATTTCCATCCCTTTCAGATAAAAACCAACATTTCATTGGAAGTTTTGATTACTTTTTGACCCATATCACTAACTCTCTTAGTGATTTGCTCACATGCAGAGTCAAATCCTTTTACTGCTCTGCAATTCCTACTTTTAGCATGAAGAAAATATTCTGATTTCAGTTATAGCCCAAAGCACATGATCTCAAACTTCCTCATATTGAACACTGTCTGTCATAGAATTTTTCTACTTGGTCATCAGTGTCCTTCAGTTACTTCCTGTTCCCATCTACCTGATTTTAACTGATCCTCCTAATTTAGTGCCATCTGGAACTCGATTATTTTGTGGTTGATTTCCTGATTCCTCAAAGACTGTCGACATGGCATAATGTAGGATTATGATTCCTGGATGGGCAACTGCACTCCCAAAATTTGACACCTGACAGAAAAGTATTGCCACACTATCTAATAGCTGAAATATGTACTTTCTCCACCATTGCTGTACTGTAGTTGTAATGTGCACAATGTATGGGATCTCAACGACAGCACGTTTTCAAAACTTCCTTGCAGCACTTCTCAATCATGTGACATCCACTAAATAGAAAGACAAAAGCAGCAGAATCTTGTGAATATCAATTTCAGGTACCCTTCCTGGCCACAAAGCAACCTGAGTTCGATATATGTTGCTGCTTTCTTCTTCTTGGATAAAATGTTTGAATTCCGTACCCAACAGTGGCAAAAAGGAAATGTAATCTGCAGTGTCATTAGATGAGACTTTTTCTTAATCTCCCTCAGGATTTGGACTTCAGTTGCTAAACCAGAATTTACTACTAATCTCCAGTTGCCCTTGAGAAGGTGCTGGTCAATTTTTTTTGTATGTAGATAGACCCATTGTGTTGTTAGAGAGGCAATTCCAGGATTTTGACCCAGTAGCAACAGTGGAACATGGATATAGTTCCAGGTCAGTGTGGCGTGGCTTACAGGAGAATTTGCAGACGGTGGTCATATTTCCAAGCATCTATGGCTCTTATCCTTCTCGTTAAGTGTTTTCAGGTTTAGAGTATGCTGTTGGAAATTAACATCCTTGGCAAAAATGGAGAGAGCCTTGTCCAGTTACCTAGCTAAATTCATGTTCTTCTTGTCTTGAAGGTTTTGACTCTTTGCTATTATGGCTCAACAGAAATCTGTTATACTTCAGCGTGTAAGTTACACTCAGCTGATAGAATCATAGAATCCCTACAGTGTGGAAGTAGGCCATACTGGTCCTCTGAAGAGCATCCCACCCTCGACACAATGGGCAATTTAGCATAGCCGATTCACCTAACCTGCACATGTTTGCACCGGTGTGCTCGGAGGAAACCCACGCAGATGTAGGGAGAATGTGCAAACTCCACACAGACAGTTACCCAAGGCTGGAATTGAGCCCGGGTCCCTGGTGCTGTGAGGCATTAGTGCTAATCACTGTGCCACTGTGTCGCCCCATAATCATTGTGCATATAAAAGAATTTTGGCAAGTGAGTGATCTATAAAGAGGTTAAAGAAAACATCAAGCCAAGTTCAGTTGTATTATTACCTTACAGTCATGCATGCTCGTTCTCTCAATGAATGTTAGATGATGATTGAAACAAACTGGAATTTTGAAGCAAATTATGGTAGCTGATACATGTAGATTGAGACTGGTTAATTCAGCATGTAATTACTCAAATGTAGATATGAATTTTATTGGTCTGTATTGTTTAGCTATTCACTAGATAAATCCACTGAGCCATCGGGACGTTTTACATGTCGTATTTTAAATACGAATGCAAAAAAATGTTTTAAGACTGAAAAATAATGCATATAGTGAAAACAGTCTCTAATATTTAATGTCCCATGGCTGAATTTTAACAGGTGGTAATTTTGGCCGGTCCTGGTTTGATCCTGAGTAGTGCGATGATTGCTCTTATGGCTGTTAAAGTTTACACATTCAACTGGGACTGGTACGTTGGCATGATGTTTGGGTCAATTCTTGGCTGCACTGACCCTATTACAGCCGTTGCTCTACTTAGAAATCTAGGTAAAGTAAGAATTCTTCACATTATTGTGGATTTGTCTGACATGAGAACTATATACAATCATCTTTTAAATATCTCATAAAATGACTGAAATGTGCTTTATACAACCAAACCTTTATTATTCCTATTCACTCATTTAAAGTGTAGAATGCAGAATCTTTACAGTGAAGTTTTGGGTTTGCACATAAGGGAAATTTCAAAGGGAAATTCCAAAGGGAATAGGTATAACTTTGTACAGTTCAGAAGAATGCCATTTGTCTCATCATTCACATGCTGACTAGTTAAAAATAAATTTCTAATTCCGCCCATCTCTGCTCTTTCCTGATAGCTTGGCAAGGTCATTTATTGATCTGCGTTATTGTTATTGTTTGAAGGAATGATAAATATGACATGTTTTAGTGTTGAATCTGATAAACATTAACTTTATGGAGCAATTGTATATATGGTTATTGTGGTTCCCCTGAAAGTACTATCAGTCCTATACTCTACCTCAGTCCTCATAACACTCCAATGTTTCCCTTTTCAATTTGTATCAAATTACTTTTTGCCATCTAATTGATTCTATTTCCAACACGTTTTAGGAAGTGAATTCTAGATCATAGTTCTCTGCTTTAACAAGAAGTGTAATCTGTCCTGTAATTCCTTTGCTCATTATCTTAAAATGGTGTCCTTAGGCTTCTGATCATTCTGCTAGTGGAAATAGTTTCTCCTTAGCCACTTACCAAAACTTTTCACAATTCTGAAGACCTGCATAAATCTTCCCCTAACTTTCTCTGATTTAAGAATAGTACCTGCTCCTCCCTCTATATAGTGTCTCTGTATAATGTGCCAAAATATGACTGATTTGGCTTCTTTATTGCTGTACTAGCATGTAGATATTATTGTTTTTGGACAACTAGAGAAAATTAAAGATACAGACTGATTAATATTCATCAAATTGAATAGATATTAATGTGAATTGCACTTAGAATGATTGAATAGGTATCAGTGAGGAATTGCACGTGAATTAATATATATGTGACCTATCCCCGTTGAAACAAGAAGTGATTCTAATATACTAACAGCAATTGAATTTAGTGGCATTTGGTTATATTTGTAAAAGGTTTTATTGCCAAGAAGAATAAAAACTTCAAGTTCCAGTTATTAGGGAAATTTCAAATTTTGGGAGACAGACCTCTATAATTGCTTAAAATGCTTTCTGCTTCTGTTTTTATTGTGTCCGCATCACTTGCACCATGTAAAATCCAGGCAATGACCATCTCCAGTAAGAGAGAATCCAACCATTGCTCCTTGATGTTCAAAAGCCTTACCATCACTGAGTTCCCCACTATCAAAATTCAGATGGTTACTATTGACTGAAGCTGAACTGGACTGCCCATTTAAACAGTATGGCCTTGAGAACAGGCCAGAGGTTAGGAATTCCATGGCGAGTAACTCACGTGTCTCCTCAGTGCCAGTTCCCTTTCAGGAGGGTGATGGAATACTTTCCACATGATTCAATGGGTGGAGCTCCAGCAACATCCAAAAATTGACATCATCCAGGACAAGGCGGTTCACTTGATTGGCATCTTGTGCACCACTTTGAACATTCACTCCTTTCACCACCACCACACAATTTGTAGCAGTGTGTACTAACTACATGATGCACTGCAGTAACTCATAAATGCACTTTTGACAACAACATTTAAACTCCTGTTCTACCATCTAAAAGGACAGTGGCAGCAGATGCATGGGAACACCCACCAACCGCAAATTCCTATCCAAGCCACATCATCCCGATTTGGAACTGTATTGCCATTTCTTTACTGTTGTTGGGTCAAAATTCTGGAACTCCCTCAGTGCCATGGGTCTGTACACTTACCCTTGAGTTGCATCAACTCAAGAAGGCAGCTCTCCAACATCTCTCAAGGGCATTTAGCAGTGGGTCATAAATCCTGCCTAACCAGTGATGCCCACTGACCAAAAATGAATAAAGTAATCTGTATTCCACCAACATTTATGAATGGAGTTAACAATTACCAGATAATGGGGTGGCACGGTGGCACAGTGGCACAGTGGTTAACACTGCTACCTCACAGCACCAGGGACCCAGGTTCAATTCCAGCCTCCAGCAACTGTCTGTGTGGAGTTTGCACATTCTCCCTGTATCTGCATGGGTTTCATTTGGGTGCTCTGGTTTCCTCCCACAGTGCAAAGATGTGTAGGTTAGGTAAATTGGCTGTGCTAAATTGCCTGAAGTGTTCAGGGATGTGTAGATTAGGGGGATGGGTCTGGGCAGGATGCTCCAAGGTTCAATGTGGACTTGTTGGGCCAAAGGGCCTGTTTCCACACTGTAAGGATTCTATGATAATCTCCTTTTTTATATGATGTTGGTGGAGAGATATATATTGGACAGGGAACTTAGAGATAACTCCCTGCTGTTCTTCAACACAGTGTCTTTGGACATTTTATAGGCAACTGCATCTTTAATTTAGCATTTCCTCCACAAGACATTTCTATTTAATATATTTTAAGAAAATGAAATTCTCTGTCAAGGGCTCTCTGAAATTATTCTTCTAGAATGGGTTTATTCAGTATTCAATCTATATTTGTAGTCAGTGGAGAAGCTGTGTCAGTTTGATTCTGTAGTAGTTATTCATATGAAAAGTGAAGATACATCTTCAAGTTAAAATTGTTTCGAAATTAAATAGGTGCTGCTTCAATTTTTGAGGTTCAGAAATTGCACCTAGCAATCCAATATACCAGACAAACCTGTGCGAACATCCATGAGCAAGTAGTAAACCATAAGCAATATTAAATCACTTTGCTCTGCAGGTATCCAGAATGCAAGTCATTGGAACAATTAACAAAATATACATGTTGGCATAGGACCCTCTTCTGATTATTATATGCCCCATATACCATATAATCAATTTACAGTGTTATTTATTACATTAACATACTGGAGGAACCTTCACCAGCATTATTTAAAGGGCTGTCTGCTGGTTTCTGCATTGTCATTTCAAGACGCTGGACAGATTTTGGATATTTTTTGAAATGTTGAGAGGATTTTGCCAGCTGCCTTTCACAGAGCTGCAGTTGTGGGTGACTTGGGAATGGATGTATTTGGGTGAATTAGGAGAAGCAACAAAGAAGCAGAAGGGGGAAAATAAGCTCTGTGCAGAACGGTTTGTCCACAGTGAGTCTTCAGGACATCTGTGCCAAAAATGTCTTGGAGGAGCGATGTCGTAGCTGCCTCTTGCTTCACAGAGAAAGCTATCGCTGAGTCTTGTATGGACTGCAAGTTGCAGTCCATCTTGAAATGAACCTAGACAGCAAGTGCATTATCCAAGATCGGTGATAGTCAGAGAGTATTTTGCGATTGGAAGCCTCTGTTTGGTGGCAGCCATGCTTCATTTATACATTGCTAATTAATATTGTTGTTCATATTGTGTAGATGAAGCTTTGCAGTCCAACTGAGCTGCTAACTGGAATTGCTCAGCTTCAAGGGAATGTTGCTCAATAACTACCAGCCCTTTATTAACCCCTCTTGTCCAATGCTAACTGGATTCTGCCAGTGGCTGTAGCCTCAAGAACTCACCACTGCCAGGATATTTCAGAATAGAACATCATGCTTGATGTCAGCCTCAACTTTAAAACTGCTGTGTCTGAATCTGCCCTGCACAGTTCATGACATTTGCCCTGGACCTGACATAGAAGAGAAATTGGTGGACCACTTTGTGGACTACCACTCTCACTAATGCATGCTAAAATCCATCCTACAACAATGCTACAGTAAAACTAAGAGCTGCAGATGCTGGAGATCTGAAATGAAACTGAACAGACCACCTGGCATCTACCATGGCACCGGAAACTTCAAAGGCAAAAACAGCCCTGACCACCCTGCAAAGTCCTCCTTGCTATCATCTAGGGGCTAGTGCCTAAATTTGGAGAGCTATATCTTGGAGTAGTAAAGAAACAGCCTGACATTGTCTGCAAGATATGATTTCATGGGTATAACAATGTTCCAGACATGACAGTCACCAACAATGGATATGTCCTGTCCCATGGGCAAGACAGACACAGCAGAGATGGCAACATAGGGGACTACAATCAGGAGGAAGTTGCCCTGGGAGTCCTCAACACTGACTGCAGACCCCATCAAGTCCTTTGGGTTAGGTTAAGCATAGGCAAGTTTACCTCCTGCGACTTACCACTTATCATTCTGTCTCAGCTGGTAAGTCAGTACATTTCCATTGTGGAAAACACTCAGAGGAAACACCAACGATGGTAAGGGTGCAAAATATTCTCTGGATGGGGGATTTTAATGTCCACCGGCAGCAGCACAACTGATCAAGCCAGTCGAGTCCAAAAGGATATACAAAGGGTTCTACTATAACGCATGTTCCGGCAACCCGAAATGGCTATTACGCGACTGCTGAATAGGGGAATGCTATTTTTGAAACGTGAACTTGTATTGGCTATAACACGATTCCATCGGTGTGCAAAGGAGTATGTGTCAACATCACGTGATCGTTTCGCGGACTTTGTCCTGAGCATGTGCAATGTTAGCGCGAAAGAGTCTCCGTCCCGGCATCATGTCTACTCCAGGTGTTTATTTTAGGTCAAGCAAAAGAGGTTGGATGACAGTGCAAATTCTTTCTGACCTTATTGTTGATGTTTTGGAAGATGTTTTTAGAAAATATTACAGGAAAATAATTTGGATTTCGAGATTCTCCTCATCCTCGATAACATGTCAACCCAACCTCCCACCATTGGTGAGCTTTCTGAAAACATTAAAGTGCTATTTCTACCCCCAAACACAACCCCTCTCCTTCAACCCATGGACCAGGGTGCAATAGCAGCTTTTAAAACTTATAATTTAAGGCACACACTTAAGATGCTGATTGCAGCCATTGAGGGGGGGGTAAGGAAAGTGTTCTACAATTTTGGACGAGCTTCAACATCAAGAATGCAGTTGACCTTATCGTGATGGCCTGGGGTGATGTCAGTGAGGACAGCTTGTATGCAGGAACAAAAACAAAGTTGCTGGAAAAGCTCAGCAGGTCTGGCAGCATCTGTCAAGGAAAAAACAGAGTTAACATTTTGGGCCCAGTGACCCTTCCTCAGAACAGGGTCCGTTTCTTCTTTCACAGATGCTGTCAGACCTGCTGAGCTTTCCCAGTAACTTTGTTTTTGTTCTTGATTTACAGCATCTGCAGTTCTTTCGGTTTCTGCTCGTGTGCAGTTTGGTGGAAGCTTCTCCCACAATTTTTCAAGATTTTAAAATCTTTGACCTGTCAGAGGAGCTCCTAAGAATCAAAGAACATTGTGTTGATCTTGCAAAGCAAGTTGGAATTGAAGAAGTGAAGAGGGAGGATGTTGAAGAGCTGCTTGAGTCCCACTGTGAAGACCTCTGTACAGCTGATATACAACAACTTGTCGCTGAGAGGGAAGTGGAAGCTGGAGATAAAGAAGTAGTAGTCCAGGATGCAACACCATGAGAGCTTTCCATTTCTGTTTTGTCTTCTATCCTGAGAGAAATTGAGAAGGAGTTGCAGCTCTTAGAGGACAACGATTACAATGCAGAACTCAGCAGAGTAGCAGTTCGTGGAATAAGATCTTACTTGTCACCCTGTGAAAGGTTTCTTCATGAAAGAAGAACAAGGGCAAAGCAGCAAAAACTGGATGTTCTTTTTAAGCCAACCCCCAAGAAACAGTCAGAAGACAATCACAGCCATCCACTTCTGGATTAATTATTTTTCGCCCTAACCCTGCAACCACAACTGCACCTGATGGTGATGATGACGACCCTCAGCCTCTGCATTAACAACAGTCAACCTCAAAGCCTCCTTCTCCATCAAGTCATCTTGACATTTTTTTTCAAGATAAGGTGTTAAATTTACTTTTGTTTCATTATTAGATATGAATTAAACATTTATTCAAACTGTGCTATCCTTTGTGTTAGGCTTTTGAGTGATTTTTTTTGTTGGTCTGCCCCTAATCCTGCTTTTCCCATAGGTCCTGTTATTTCTATAGTGCAATTTTTTCTCATGTGATGTTGCGCAGGAATACAACTATCATGTTATTAGGAGAACCCCCTGGAGCTGTTAGACTAGGTCTGTGGCAGATGGTGAATAAACCAACAAGAGGGGAGGAACAGACTTGACCTCATCCTTACCAATCTACCAGTTGCAGATGCAAGTGTCAGTAAGGTTGGCTACCACACAGTCCTTGTGGAGACAAAGCTCCGCTTTCTCTCCATTGTGTGGTATTGCACTATCTGTGCTAAATGGGACAGACATATTTAGCAACTTAAGACTGGGTATCCGTGAGGTACTGTGGGCCATCAACAGAAAGAGAAAAATTGTACTCTACAATCTGCAACCTTCTGGCCCAGCATATCCCCCCCTCAACCATTATCTTCAAGCCAGGACATCAACCCTGGTTCAATGGAGAATGGAGGAGGGCATGCCAGGAGCAGCTCCAGGCATTCCTAAAAATTAGGTTCTCTACGTGGTGCCAAGCAGGACTACTTGCATGCCAAACAGCTTAAGCAGCAAGTGATAGAAGAGCTAAATGATCCCACAACTAGCAAGTCAGATCTAACCCCAGCAGTCGTGACACATCCAGTCGTGAATTGTGATGGACAAGTGAACAATTCACTGGAGGAGAATGCTGTGCAAATATCCCCGTCCTTGGTGTGGCTTTTTTGTCTGATGTTGGCTTGGGGCTGGCCAAGCCCAGTTATCCCCATGAGGCCAGTAGGCACCTCATTCAGAGCGTTGTTAGTATAATTGAGTCATACAGCATAGAAAGAGGCCCTTCAGCCCACCATGTCTGTGCTGGCCAAGAAACACCAAACTGCATTAATCCCATTACCTGCAATTGGTCCGTCGCCTCCTATGACCTTTTTGAGTGTAGAATTGTCTTTTGTAGAAAGCAGTGTACCTAATTTATTGGATTTATTCAAGATTTGGAGATACCGGTGTTGGACTGGGGTGGACAAGGTCAAAAATCACATGACATCAGGTTATAGTCCAACAGGTTTATTTGAAAATGCAAGCTTTTGGAGCTCACTACGCCTGAGGAAGGAGCTGAGCTTCAAAAACTTGCATTTTTAAATAAACCTGTTGGACTATAACCTGGTGTCGTGGGATTTGTTCAAGATTGAGTTAGATAGATGTTTGATTAGTCAAGTGAGTCAAGAGGGAGGGTAGAGGAGAAGACAAGAAAGTGACATTGAAACCAATCTGATCAGTTATGATCTTATTGAGTGGTAGAGCAGGTTTGCAAAATGTTAGTTATTGACTAAGTAATCCCTTTAGAATTTTGCATGCTCTTTAAAGAGCCGTTTTGATCTTAAGATTGCACTGTATTGATATATTTTAGCAATAGATGCAGATACAGTTTAACTTAATAATTAGAAAATTAGGAAATTAGAAATTGCTAACATATATCCTGTAAATTTGGTACAGGTGCATCTAAAGCTCTTACTCTAATAATCGAAGGGGAATCGTTGCTGAATGATGGCACCTCAATTGTCGTGTTTGAAGTCTTTCGAGATCTTTCTCTTGATCCACATAATATTGATGGTAAGAATATTCACTTTTTAAAACAGTTTTCAACATTTGATAATCCACAGCAACAAGCTCGCTTAAAAATCAAAAGAACTGCGGATGCTGTAAATCAGGAGCAAAAACAAAGTTGCTGGAAAAGCTCAGCGGGTCTGGCAGCATCTGTGAAGGAGAAAGCAGAGTTAACGTTTTGGGTCTGGTGACCCTTCCTCAGAACTGATGGTGGCTGGGAAAACGATAGTTTATATGCAGAAAATAGAGAGGTGGATGGGGTAGGGAGTAAACGATACGATAGGGCCCAAAGAGAGAGAAAGACAGTTGGACAGACAAAGGAGTTGCTAACGATCAGGCTGCGAGGGTGAATAGTTGTTAATGGGGTCTATTAGTGACTAACAACAGGGGTCTGTAGTGGCAGGCTATGTGGTAACAAAGCCTGGTATGTGGGGTGGGGGGCTGGGACATGGGAGAGTTTAGGCCCTAAAATGATTGAACACAGTACTGAGTCCAGAGGGCTGTAGGGTCCCCAAGCAGAAAATGAGGTGTTGTTCCTCCAGCTTGCGTTGGGCTTCACTGGAACACTATAGCAAGCCAGAGACAGAGATGTTGGCCAGGGAGCAGGGTTGTGCGTTAAAGTGGCAGGCAGCAGGTAGTTCAGGGTCTTTTTTGCGAGCAGAGAAAAAATGGATGTTAGAGGATGTGAAATGTTACAAACTTCCTTAATCACTTATCCTGTAAAATGTATTTTTTTGATCTAAGTCTGCCTTCACTGGTATTCTACATCTAGGGACCATAAAAGCATAAGACATTGCAGTAGAAATTAGGCCATTTCGGTCCGTCAAGTCCGCTCTGCTATTCACCCATGGCTGGTAAGTTTCTCAACCCATTCTCCTGCCTTCTCCCTGTAGCCTTTGATCCCCTTCACAATCAAGAACTTATCTATCTCTGTCTTAAATATATTCAATGAGCTGGCTTCCACAGCCAGGAAACAATGGTGTGGTGAGTTTGACATCTGTGGTGGGGAAGCTCTTGGAGAAGATACTGAGGGACAAGATAAATGCGCATTTGGAGGAAAATGGACTGGTTAGTCACAGGCAGCATGGTTTTGACCAGGGAAGGTCATGTCTCACCAACCTGATTGAATTTTGTGAAGAGGTTACAAGGATAATTGATGAGGGAAGGGCTGTGGATGTAGTTTATATGGTCTTTAGTAAGGCACTTGATAAAGTCCCATATGGCAAGTTGGTACAAAAACTAAAATCACAAGGGATTCGGGGTGGCCTGGCTAGATGGTTAGAAAACTGGCTTGGTCATAAAAGACAGAGGGTATTGGTGGAAAGATGTTTTTCAGAATGGAGACCGGTAACTAATGGTGTTCCACAGGGGTCAGTCTTAGGTCCTTTGTAGTTTGTAGCATACATAAAGATCTGAAAGAAAATGTGGGTGGTCTGATAAGCAAGTTTGCTGATGACACAAAGATTGGTGGAGTTGCTGATACTGCTGATGATTGTGAAAGTATACAACAGGGTATAGATAGATTGGCGACTTGGGCACAGAAATGGCATATGGAGTTTAATCCAGACAAATGTGAGATGGTGCATTTTGGAGGATCAAATTTAGGTGTGAATTATATTGTGAATGGCAGAACCCTTAGGAACACTAACATTCAGCCTGATCTGGGCGTGCAGGTCCACAATTCCCTGGAAGTGGTAACAGAGGTAGCCAAGGTGATAAGAAGGCATGCTTGCCTTAACCACCTGGGGTGTGGAGTACAAGAGTTGGCAAAATATGTTGTAGCTATATAAAACCCTTGTTAGGCCGCATTTGAAGTATTGTGTGCAGTTTTGGTCAACACAGTACCAGAAGGATGTGGAAGCTTTGGAGAGAGTATGGAGAAGGTTCACCAGGATGTTGCCTGGTCTCCAGGGTATTGACTGTGAGGAAAGGTTAAAAAGACTAGGATTGTTTTCACTGGAAAGACGGTGGCTGAGAGGAGACTTAATAGAGGTCTACAAAATTATGAGAGGCATTAGATAGGCTGGATAGTCAGAGGCTTTTTCCCAGGGTTGAAGTTTCAATTCCAAGGGGGCACAGGTTCAAGGTCGGGGGGCAAGTTTAAGGGAGATGTGCGAGGGAAGTTTTTCATGCAGGGAGTGGTAGCCGCCTGGAATGCACTAGAAGAAGAGGTGGTGGCAACAGGCAAATTGAAGACGTTTAAGAGGCAGCTAGATGGGTACGTGAATAGGGAGGGAATAGAGGGATACAGATCAAAAAAAGACAGGTTTGTTTTTAGACTAATTAGGGCATGATGATTGGCACAGGCTTATAGGGCCGAAGAGTCTCTTCCTGTGCTGTACTTTTCATTTGTTCAGTATTCTAAATGTGATCTGACCAGAGCCTTATAAAGCCTTAGAAGTTCATCCCTGCTTTTATATTCCAGTCCTCTCAAAATAAATGCCAACATTGTATTTGCCTTCCTAACTACTGACTCAACCTGCAAGTTAACCTTAAGAGAATCCTGGACTAGGACTTTGCACTTCAGATTTCTGAATTTTCTCCCTATTTTGAAAATAGTCTATACCTCTATTCTTCCTACCAAGTGCATGACCTCACCTCCCCACGTTGTATTCCATCTATCACTTTTTTGCCCACTCTCCTAACCTGCCTAAATCTTTCTGCAGCCTTCCTGCCTCCTCAATACTACCTATCCCTCCACCTATCCTTGTATCAACTGCAAACGTCGCCAGAATGCTCTCAGTTCCTTCATCTGGATCATTAACGTGTAACGTGAAAAGTTTTGGTCCCAACCCTGACCCTTGCGGAACACCACTTGTCACCGGCTCCCATCCTGAGAAGGACCCTTTTATCCCCATTCACCTCTGCCCCCAAAACCTCTTGAATTTTTAGGATACTACTTATGTCTTCTATTGTGAAGACTGACACAAAGTACTTGTTCAGTTCCTCCGCCATTTCTTTGTTCCTCATTACTATTTCACCAGCGTCATTTTCCAGCGACCCAATGTCCACTTTGCCTCTCTCTTGCCCTTTATATTTCTAAAGAAACTCTTGTAATCTTCTTTTATATTACTGGCTAGCTTACCCTCATATTTAATCTTCTTCCGCCTTATTTTTTTTTAATTGTCCTCTGTTAGTCTTTGTAGCCTTCACAATCCCCTGGATTCCTGCTGCCCTCCGTTTTACCTTCAACTTATGCTTCCCACCTTTCTTTTTCTCAGGGTTCCCTTACCACAGACTCCAACGCCAACACCACCTGAGTCTTAGCTCGGCCTTCTTTCACATACACTAAATGTCCTAACACATTACAATTTCACCGACTGTTTTGGTCATACAAACGCTCAAGATGGGGTATGTGTGTGTCATCTGATGGGCCCTTTCACTCAGTCCACCATTACTCCTCCCAGAGCCCATATTCTTTCATTTCTGTAACATTTTGACATAATAGCCAATCACAATTTTTATTTTGATTGTAATTCTTCTTTCACTAATACTACTTTCATTGTTATAAAGTCAGTTTTACTATGGATTTTGTATCAGTGTCCTATCATTTAAACTATGTTTTTGTGCTCTTCCAAGCCACTAATCCTTTTGTCAATCACGTGTACATGTCTGAGACCCGTTCTTCAGTGCATGTTTTTTGTACTGTCTCAGGTTTGTTACCTCCAAGGTAACATTCAATTTTATGCACTTAGATCAGTATCTCAAGACCATGTCATGCATTCCTGACTCCTATATGATCTTATCAAATGATCTATGAGGTTTTACTTATCTCTCCACGTATGGTCCCAATACCTTGGCCAACGGCTTGATACCCAATTCAGTTTTTCTTAAAAAGAAAGACAAGGACCCAAACATCACCAAAAGAAAGCTATCAGTTTGGTTCTCTCATCTAAACTTCCTTTTCACTAAAATGCATTTTAACCTCATTTACCATTTCAAACTATTTTTCTAATTTTTTTTTGTCTTTTGCCACCAGCCTCTACCTCTAATTAGTTCGCCTCATACAATTTTTCTACTTAACTGTTACCACCATATCTAATTCCAGAGATCTGTAGAGATTTGTAGTTCATGGAACATTATCTTATAATGTTTTTAAAGAGAAGTCAAACATTTCTGTTTGATTCAGGCACAACATACTCTGTCTGTTCTTTCTGTAAGATGACCCACATTGCTTTTGAAAGTTACTTGTTCACTCATTCTAGATATTTAATATATCTGTATGTAAGTTTGTCCAAATTCAATATTTTGTTTACTCCCTTAAAGTCACTAACCATTGTCATACTTTGAAATCACTGAGACTATATGCATGCACTTTATCATTTCCCAGAATCCCTCTAAATTTTCAGGTAACTGTTCCATTTAAATGTTTTAGAATTCCAGGGCATGTGAGTCTTAATGCAGTTTTTGTCATGATGTGCTAAACAGGCTCAGTGGTTTCAAGATACCTGACATTCTCTACAGTTATGATTACCACAGTACTTACCCAACACTGAAATGTGTTACTGATGAATAGCTTGATGGCTTGAGGATGCCTCATCCATCACTGTGTTGTGACATTGAAATTCTGCAAATGGGCTCAGCCTTCAGTGTCTCCAATTTCCAAAAAAAAGACTTTTTTATCTAATCCATGTCAAGGGTTAATTAGTATTAAACTAAGACGGATTATGTCATCAGTCTCTCCTCCTCCTTGAAGGAAGGAAAAGCCCACCCCTTTGTTAAATTTGCCTTTCCTAAACTTTTCGCACACAGGGAGTTGCATTTTCAACATTCAAGTGTCCCTATCACTTGGATATTAACAATGAGTCAGTCTTATCGTCAGAAATTAAAGATTCACTCTCGTTAAAACAGTATTTGGAATTTCACTCTGGCCAGAAAGTGAAATTCCAAGTATGGTCATTTCTTGAATTAAAATTTACCTGGTCCAAACACAATACTGAGCCAATTCCAAAAGATAAACTTTTACCAAGCTTTATAAACCAAATTTTTGAATCGTTTCTCAAATT